CAGGTGCTTCTTTAGGTCAAGCAACGTTCGGGACTGCGGCTGGTCTTGGCAGAATTCCTGTGTTCCATGGCCAATAATCCCAGAGGCTTCTAGTTTCCAAGTTCATGGTTAGTAAAAGGCTAACAGACTCCTGGTTATTGTTTTGTGGCTTTTGAAGTTTTGCTCAAGTTCAGAGATCCTATTGACTACTGTGTTTTTCTGTGGCTTTTTTACTCTGCATTTACCTTTCTTTTGTAACCAATTTTTCATCAATAAACAAGGATTGCTTTTCCTACAGTCCAGAGTGGTGGATTTAATCTTATGGTCTTGTTTCTTGAACTGGGGTGCAACGGTTATCCTGTTTTCGGAAGACAGTGACATCATTAAGATCACTCATGAGTTTGAAGCCAGCCTGGGTCGGAGTAAGCTTCTGACCAATTTGTGTAGCTTGCTGTCGACCTTTGCATCCCGAAAGACAGTTGCATCTGTCAAGTAGGAAATTTAGGTACCGCGTATGCGCGGAGGCTAATCTAACTAATTTATGACGCCATAGAAATCTCCAGGAAGCATGCAAAGAATGAGGAAGTACTTCATCAATGTCACAAATGGATGGTTGACCGTTGAAGCCCGAAAGACAGTTGCATCTGTCAGGTAGGAAATTTAGGTACTGCTTTATGCGGGGAGGCCAATTTAACCAATTTACGTCACCATAAAACCTGCCAGCAGCGTACAGAAGAATGAGGAAGTACTCCATCAAGTGTCACAAGTGGATGGTGAAGCGACAGCTCCCCCTGTGGCCGGAATCAAACATATCCTCATGAAGCCAGAAAGCTGGAATGTTAAATTGCCTCTGTGTCTGTCTACATATGTTGTATGTCTAATTGGCATTGAATGTTTGCCATGTATATGCGCATTGTAATCCGCCCTGAGTCCCTTGCAGGGGGGGTGAGAAGGGCCAAATATAATACTGTAAATAAATAAATAAGTTCCTGGACCACCTCAACAACATCCAGGTTTCAGGGTTTCGATGACGCATGAGGCTCATGTCAATACGGGGACAGAGATTCGGCACCATCGGTGATTTCAGGCATCCGGATCCCTGGTGGATAAGGGGGTCTTGCTACAGATCCTCCCACAAACCTTACAAGAACCTGGTTATTCAGCAAATGGTGAAGAATAATGCCACAAAGGGCTTTAGTACTTCCAGCAACCTGTAGAGCAGCTCCTGCGCGACCGTGTCCCCGTAGTCGTGCGACAGAAGGTTGATGCGTTGATTCAGGAGGTCCAGGTGGTCCAAGAGCGCTTCCACGATGCTGGCTTGCTCAAAGATGGAATAGTGATGGGGCCTCTGCAATGGGAAACCACAGGGATAGGGTCATTCCATGCCAAGTGATCTAAACCTTCCCACCACCATGTCTCCAATTTTGTTCAAATTTTAGATATAGTGCCACTTAAGTTTCCCAAAAATTCAGGTTTCAAACTGCAATTGTTGCTGATCTATGTCAGAATATAATGGCTTCAGGTGGGGCTGACCTGCAACCACAAAATTATTTTCATTGCTACTTCATATCTGTAATTTAAGCTACTGTTATGAATCATAACGTAAACATCTGATATGCAGGAGGTATTTTCATTCACTGGACCAAATTTGGCACAAATACCAGATATGTTCACATTTGAATACTGGTGGGATTGGGGGGAATGGATTTGGTCATTTGGATGTTGTAATTGCTGGGATTTATAGAGAAGTGCTTTCAGTCAGCAAATAATAATAATAATAATAATAATAATAATAATAATAATAAGGGAAGTCATGAGTAGTAAACTGCTTCAAGTGCAAAAGACAAAGAGGGAAACATAATCTAGAGCAGAAGAGAAAACTGGCAAAAGAAAGCTCTCCGTGGACAGTTCCTGGGAAAAATTGGGAACCAAACTGACAAAGAAAAAACCTGGCTGTGGGTCACAAATAGAACTTGGGAAAAGGAGCCAAAGGAGGGCCTGATTCTGGCAGCCCAAGAACAAGCCATTAGAACCAAGGCCATCCAAGCCAGAATTGAAAAGTCGACAACAGATCCTAAATGTATGCTCTGCAAGGAAGCAGATGAAACAATAGATCTCATCCTCAGCTGCTGCAAGAAGATCACGCAGAGAGACTCCAAGCAGAGGCACAACACCATTGCTCAGACGATTCATTGGAACTTGTGCCAAAAGACCATCTGCCTGTGACAAAGAACTGGTGGGATCACAAGCCGGAAAAAGTTACAGAGAATGAACACGCCAAACTCCTCTGGGACTTCCGGATTCAGACAGAGTTTTAGAGCATAATACTCCTGACCTCACAATCGTGTTAAAAAACAAAGTATGGATCATTGATGTTGCAATCCCAGGTGACAGCAGGATTGCAGAGAAACAACTGGAAAAGCTGACATGATACAAGGATTTAAAGATCGAACTGCAAAAACTCTGATCGGCACACTGGGTGCAGTGCCTAAAGACCTTGGCCGGCACTTAAACACAATTGGCGCTGGCAAGATTGCCAGCTGCCAGCTGCAAAAGGCCACCCTACTGGGATCTGCACGCCTTATTTGCCAATCCATCACACAGCCCCAGACACTTGGGAAGTGTCCGACGTGTGATCCAATAAAACAGCCAGCAGCGTGTCTGCTGTGGACTCATCTTGTTGTGTTTCAAATAATAATAATAATAAACTTTATTTGTATTGTCGAAGGCTTTCATGGACGGAATCACTAGGTTGTTGTAGGTTTTTTCGGGCTATATGGCCATGGTCTAGAAGCATTTTGCCTCTAGAAGAGGGTTCCTCAAACTTTTTAAACAGAGGGCCAGGTCACAGTTCCTTCAACTGTTGGAGGGCCGGATTATAATTTGAAAAAAAGCATGAATGAATCCCTATGCACACTGCACATATCTTATTTGTAGTGCAAAAGACACTTAAAAACAATACAATAAGTAAAATGAAGAACAATTTAACAAATATAAACTTATTAGTATTTCAATGGGAAGTGTGGGCCTACTTTTGGCTGATGAGATTGTTGTTGTTGTTGTTGTTGTGTACTTGCAAGTCGTTTCAGACTTAGGTTGACACTGAACGAGGGCCGGGTAAATGACCTTGGAGGGCCGCATCCGGCCCCCGGACCTTAGTTTGAGGACCCCTGCTCTAGAACATGGCCATATAGCCCGGAAAAACCTTCAACAACCCAACTTTATTCGTACCCGGCCATCATCTCCCAAAGGGGACTCGGGGTGGCTAACATGAGGCCAAGTCCGAAGACACAATACAACACAATAAAATACAAAGCAACCAAACAAAATACATCACAATAAAATACATAAAATAACAAGATAAAATAAACAGTGCAAAATAACATAATGGAAAGTCGAACACAAAGAGCAAGCCAAATGCACAGGATAAAATGATAAAACCGTGGATGCGATAGGAGTAGAAAAAGTGTATTTGTGAGGGAGGAGCTAGGTAGCTCGGACAAGCCATTGTGAGTATGGTTACCCTCTCGCCTTTGAAACTAGTGCTGAGCTCAGATAGAGAAAGACCTGCTCTTTCTAAAGGACAGTAGCTCAGTGCTGGGGCAGGGAATATCNNNNGGGGGGGGGGGATGCTCAGCTTCACAAGGTATGTAAGGTACCCATAAGGAAATGCCAGAAAAATGCCAGCGATTCAATCAAGGAGGAAGTTTACGAACAAAAGCTCTTCGGCAAGGAAGATGGAGCAACAACACCCCCCTGTGGCCACAACCGATCACGGCCTCCAAGATGCCAAAGATGGGGGGAAAGCCTATATATACACCTCTATCTATGTACAGTTGTCTGTCTTCTCAGTGTATAACGGCATTGAATGTTTGCCGTATATGTGTTCTGTGATCCGTTCTTGAGTTCCCTTCAGGTTGAGAAGGGCGGAATGTAAATATCGTAAATAAATAAATTAATTAATTTTGTGCCTCAAACTGAATGAAGAAAATATGTCGGAGAAGAATACAGACAAAAATACAGACAAAAATAGCAAAGGGTTGCCTACTTTCAATTCAGTTTTGTGTTTGGAGGCCTTATTTCCACACACTCATATGGCTATTAGGGAATTATTATTATTATTATTATTATTATTATTATTATTATTGCGTTGTAGGTTTTTTCAGGCTATATGGCCACGGTCTAGAGGCATTTTCTCCTGACATTTCGCCTGCATCTATGGCAAGCATCCTCAGAGGTAGTGAGGTCTTTTGGAACTAGGAAAATGGGTTTATATATCTGTGATTTGTGTTTGGAACATGAAAGGCACTGCAGACTACTCCAACCAGAGAAGTCAGCCATAGCAGAGCACCTGATGAACCAGCCTGGACACAGCATATTATTTGAGAACACAGAAATGCTGGACCACACCAACAACCACCATGTCAGACTTCACAGAGAAGCCATTGAAATCCACAAGCATGTGGACAATTTCAACAGAAAGGAAGAGACCATGAAAATGAACAAAATTTGGCTACCAGTATTAAAAAACTCTAAAATTACAACAGCAAAACAGCAGAGAGGAAACAAACAAGGACATCCAAAAGTTTGTTCCAGGCACTGTCAGGCCATTATATGCTAATCAAGGTGGTCAGTTGAAACATTCACACCTAGCTCCAGCAGACAAGAGTGCTTTGTCCCACCCTGGTCATATATATATATATATATATATATATATATATATATAATAAAAGTGAAAATCTGTATGTTTGTATGTGGCATATAAGAGCACTCTGAACTGCACCAACAATAGACCTGGAACTCACTTGGCACACAGACCCACCATGGGCAATTGTCCATACTTGCAGAGTTTAGGGGTGATTACCCTGGGAGTTGTAGTTCACCCTTATCCAAAGAACAGTGAACCCAGCCAACAATGGATCTGGGCCAAACTTGCCACACAGAACCAACATGGCCAATTGTGCATACTGGCTGGGCTTGGGGGTGATTGCCCTGGGGATCTGGGAGTTGTAGTTCACCCTTATCTAAATATCACTGAACCCAGCAGCTGTCAGATCTGGACTAAACTTGACACACAGACACAACATGGCCAACTTTAAGTAATGGCAGGGTTTGGGAAGGACTGACCCACGATTCTGGAAATTGTAGTTCACCCACAACCTTATGCATTTTCTAATGGGACCATTCATTTTTTTAAAAACCCAAAAAAGTAAGACTGTTTTCCCCTAAGAAATAGCATTACACATTACCAAACTGATATTACCAAACTTCACAAAACAAACAATGCCTTTCTCAAATAACCCGGGCAGCGCCGGGTCCCCAAGCTAGTATATATATATATATGGTCATATAAACCCTTTTTCCTAGTTCCAACAGACCTCACTACCTCTGAGGATGCTTGACATAGATGCAGGCAAAACGTCAGGAGAGAATGCCTCTAGACCATGGCCACATAGCCCAAAAAAACCTACAACAACCCAGTGATTCCGGCCATGAAAGCCTTCGACAATTATTATTACTATTAGGTAAAGATTTCCCATTGACATTAAGTCTAGTTGAGTCCGACTTTGGAGGGGTGGTACTCATCTCCATTTCTAAGCCAAAGAGCCGGCATTGTCCGCAGATGCCTTCAAGGTCATGTGGCCACCAGGAGGCCCACTGTTATAGAATCATAGAATCAAAGAGTTGGAAGAGACCTCATGGGCCATCCAGTCCAACCCCATTCTGCC